GACAAGTTGGGGGACTGGGGAGGGAGCCCTGGACAAGTTGGGGGGCTGGAGAGGGAGTCCTGGACAAGTTGAGGGGCTGCGGAGGGAGTCCTGGACAAGTTGGGGGGCTGGGGAGGGAGCCCTGGACAAGTTGGGGGGCTGGGGAGGGAGTCCTGGACAAGTTGGGGGGCTGGGGAGGGAGCCCTGGACAAGTTGGGGGGCTGTAGAGGGAGTCCTGGACAAGTTGGGGAGCTGAGGAAGTGACTTGCCCAGGGTGACACAGTGAATGAGGGTCAGCACCTGTGTCCTTTTCTGACTCCAGGCACCCAGTGGTCCTGTCCCTTTGAACTAATGAGCATTTCCTCTTCCTTGAAAGATAATCGAGACATATATTCCTATACCCATTTCACAGATGAGGAAGCTCTCACAGAGCCCCGTGTTTGTTTACCTGCTGAGGCCATGGGAGTCTGCTGCCAGATCTGGAGCTGAACCCCAGAGATCCCTGAGTCCAGCCCTTTTGTATCACAGCAGAGAGGCCCGGAGAGGGGAAGGCATTGCCCAGGGCTGCCCAGGCAGCTGGAGCAGACCTCGAACTCCAGGGAGCTACCCACTGCCCCACACTGCTCCTACCCACATGGGCTCGTGAGAACCCACAGCTGGTGAGTGGCTGGGACCAGGAAGCAGGTCTTCCCGGGCCGGCCCACCCCACGTTTCATTGGCTGAGGCTGCTCCTGGCCCTGGGCAGGGAAGGCCCAGCATCTGTCAGCCAGGCCTCCCCCAGGGGCAGGGCTCACGCCTGGGGGTGGGGGATAGGGCAGGGTGCCTGGATTCCGCCCTCGGCGCCCGGAAGGACAGCAGGGCTTGGAGTTGGGGAGCCCGGATTTGGATCCCACATCTGAGGCGTGGGGTGTAGGATGGGGGGCCTCCTGTGGTAGCCCCAAGAAGGGGTGGGGAGGAGAGTGGTGCTGCTGCAGAAAGGGGCAGGTCTGTCAGTCCTCAGTGCCCCCTCCCCAGGTTCCCATTCCCAGCCTGGCCTAAGGACCGTACAAAGGGAGGGAGTACTCCCGGCCCGGCCCAGCCAGCGACATTTCTTGGGTGAGTCAGTCTTTATTAAGGAGAACGATTTCCTAAACCCTCTCGGACTCAGTTTCCTTCTCTGCAAAGTGCGTGGTTGGACTAGGTGACCCGTAAGACTCCTCCCCGTCTCTCTGAGGTCCTCTCTGAGCCTCAGTTTCCTTCTCTGTTAAGGGAGAGGGTCTGAGACTAGATGAGCTCCAAGCTCCCGCCCAAAGGCCCAGGCCGGGTTCTGCTAATTCAATTCAATTCAATTCTACCCAGTTCTATTCTTTGAGGACTACGCCATAGGGCTAAATCCAGCTCCTGTCCCTGGACACTGATAGTCCAGTGAGGGAGACCGAGACCCTGGATTGGAGCTGGGACCTCAGAGGCCGTCCAGGCCGACCCCCTCTTTTTTTTACAGATGGGGAAACTGAGGCCAGTGGTGGGGAAGTGACTTGCCTAGTCACGCAGTTTGTGAGTGGCAGGGCTGGACTTCGATCCCAAGCCCTCTGAATGCAACCTGAAGGGCTCTGCTCGCTGCACCAGGCAATTGTGATTCAGTCCAAAGAGCCATGGATTGAGTCAGAAGTTCTGTGTTCGAGTTTCTCCTCTGCCCTGTGTTAGCTGTATGATCTTGAGCCAGACTCTGTGCCTGGGATTCCTCTTCTGCAGAATGATCTCAAAGATCCCTTCCAGTTTTAGTTCTCATGCTCCTGCAGAGGAGAGGAGGTCAGGCCAAGATTTAAGGGAGATGGGGAAATCTGGGAAGGCTTCAAGGAGGAGGTGTTGCCTAAAAAGGTGAGGACTGTCTATCAGGGAAAGGTACATCCCAAGGACGGAGGGCCAGATTGTGGACAAGAGTCAGGAATGATTCCATTTGTCTTCTGGGAGTAATCTGTGATAAGGAGCGAGGGATGGATAGTGAGAACTCTCTCTCGACAGTGATTAAAGAGAAGACAGGCTTGGTTCAGGTGCCACCTCCCCTGGGAAGCCTGTCCTGATTCCTCCTGCCCTCTGTGTGTTGGCGTTCTCTCCCTGGACCAGTCATCTTTTGTGGGGCCCATTTCTAAGCAGCGATATTTCCTAGCACACTATAGTGGCTTCATAAGTGCTCATTAAATTCAATGGAAGGAGACAGAGAACGTAAAAGTAGATTCTGCCCCTGGAAAGAGGAAAAGTACTTTGTAAACCTTTAAGCACCATATAAATGTATCATCCCCTGAGAATCTATTCTCCTCAAATAGGTTGGAAACTCCTGGAGGGCAGGCAAAGCTTATAGTACCTGGCACACAGTAGGTGATTAATAAATGCTGATTGGTGGACAGATGGATGGAGTACGGAGACCAGCCTCTCCCATGAAATAGAATGTGCCAGGAGGGAAGGGGGAGTGATTCCTAAGAATCAAGTGACCACGGAATCCCTAATCCCATGCCCCAATCTAGAAATGGGTTCCCCCAAGAGAGAGTCCCCCCACTCCTTTGACTCCTTTGACCTAGAGTGGACAAGAAAGGAAGGGACAGTGCATCATGGAGAGGCCACACCCGTGCCATGGAGAGAGTGCCAGTGCTGTTCTTTACTATTTGTGCGACCTTGGGTAAGTCATTGCATTTCTCAGGGCCCCGGTTTCCCTGGCTATAAAATACAGGGGTTAAAATAGATGATATCCAAAATCCTCTCCAGCTCTTCACCTGGGGTCCTCTGAGACTCTTCGTGCCTCACTTTCCCTTTCTGTGAAATGACAGGGTTGGACTGGGCCTTTCGAGGACCCCTC